GGCCTGAGGACTCAGAGCAGCAGCGACACAGCAGAGTCCTCGCGCGCACGCCCTCCTCCTGAGCCTGCAGGCTTTTCAGACTGTTCCTTCCTTCCTGACAAAGTCAGACGTCCAAGTGAGCGGCAACCGGGGAAGCCCGTGCTCAGAAGACGAGGAGGAGAGCCCTCTTCCGAGACGCCCCGTCCCCGGGCAGACGGGCCAGGGGAGCTGCCCCCTTAGGGGAGCCGAAGCCAGCGTTCCTCCACGGCTCTAGAGGGCTGTCCATCCGGGAGCTGGGGCCTGTGTTGCCTGAACAGCCGATATCCGTCTGGTCACATGTCACCAGTCAGCAGCTAAGAACTGGCAGAGGAATGCGGGGTTCCCTTCCCGGAGAGCAAAATGCTAAGTGTTCCTGCCTCGACTTTAAGGCCAATTCTGAAAGGCAAAGCCTAAGGGTTTTTGGTAAAGTTGTATACCAAGATGGACCTTTATCCTGAATCAATCATTGGAAGGCTGCATTTTAACATTGGTCCCACACAATGTTCCAAATTAGAAACACCGAGGTGAGCTGACACGCTGTTCCAGTGAGGCCTGGCTAAAATGGGGGGTTTCGATCTCATCCTTGGACGCTTCAGCACATAAACGTTTTGAAAGAGAAAACAAGACGCTAAAAAGCAAAACCAAATCTAGAAAAAGCATCGACTGTGGACAGAAAGGATGAAATGACAATTTACAGCACGAGCAAGAGCAGTCGGCAAGCACGACACTGGGGCCAAAAGACGAAGACGTGGAGTCAGAGACAAGCCGCCGGGAGCGAGGAGGGAGACGCAGACCTCCAGCCGCACGTGAGCACGCGTCTCCCCTGCGGTCCACGAGGGGCGGTCAGAGCTGCGGGGCCCTGCTTCCTGACAACGGCCTCAGCGAGACAGTGACCGTGTCAGCGGTCGGAGCAGAGATCCTCTCAAAGTTTCCTGCATTTTACTCAGAAATTTCTCGCAACCGAATCATCTATCTTGGGAAAATAAATCCAGACAGAAGATATTGTTTCCTCAAAGATGCACATCAAAGCATCACTTCAGCACCCAGAACAGTTAAGGTGCCCACACACACACCACGGTCTCAATGCAAAGTAAGAGGTTCTCAGTTCCCGTGTCTTTGCTTCTGCCCTGCCTTCCCCAGGGCGCCCACGACCCATGGAGGGAGCGCAGCCATCCCAGTGCCCATGCACTGGGCATCACCACTCCCACTCCTCCTGTCAGGACGGAGCGGCGGGGCCTGATCCACGCCGTGGACGCCATCCGTGGCCACCTTCCTCTGCACCTCCTCTCCTCACCCAGACGACTCCAGATCGCCCACGTTCCCACTCTGTGCTCTCGGGTCACTGCGGTGACACGGTTAAAGGCAACCCAGTGACTCTGGGGAGACCACAGCAGACTCTTCCACAGTAAGTCCTACGTGACACAGACACGGAAAATGGAAAATAAACACCCACTGAACACCCAGACACCCACCACCAGTGAAAACGAGGTTTCGTGTCTTACATCAACACCGTTATTTCACTGTGTATTCTGTGAGTGACACCAGGCAGGCCTGACAATTGTGACATTGATGGTAAATCTGATGACGTGAGCAAAGCTCTAGCTGGGGCGCTCTTTCCAGCGAGTCCCGCCTCTTCTGCCCTCACATGGGGAGCTCTCCTCCATGGCTAACCTGCAGATTCCTAACCTTTCTCCTAAACTTCTCACGGGGGCAACAGGTCCCCCACCTCAGCCCACATGCGCAAACCCAGGCACCCAGCCGTCAACACCATGGTCCTGTATCTTCCTCTGTGTCTCCTGTTTGAAGACCACACATCCTTCTGCTGGAAATGCCAGTCGTGCTTGGCTATAATCTCAGCCAGGATAAATGGATGAAGGAGGCGCTTAAATTTGTGTTCCCACCTCAACAGCTAAATATCTAAACAGACATGTCCTTAGACAAAGACACCAGTGCCCTCTGTGTGTCCAGGAGTCCAGAGCTGACAGCACGCCCTCTGGGGCCCACCTGGCCCGGCCCAGCGTGAGCAGCAATGCTCCCGGCAGGACGGCATCCGCGTCCTCACCGCCCCCGGGTCTGAGCCACTCTGTGGAGGCCCTGCTGCCAGGGTGCCGCCTTAACCTGCAGAGCCCTTCTCTCAGCCACGTGTGTTATGAGGATAATTTCATTCGTAAATGTAACCTTCCAAAGGGCTTCCGAGCCTTGCTTTGACGACTGAGCAGAATCAATGATGAAAACCAGAGCTGAACCATGTCTAGCAGCTTGGTCTGAGGGGCTCAAAACTACCATTTTTGAAGGGGTAACACCTCTTTCAATTAAAATTTATTTTTAAAATTTGGTCATGGAACCTGTCCCCTACCTTCCCAAAGTTACGATAAGTCCTTGGGATCAAGTCAGCACCACCCCGGCCACTTTGAACCAGCTCTGAAGTCAGTCGCGTCAGCTCCGTGCCAGCTCCCTCATCGTGAAATGCAAAGACCGCAACTGCTTTGCTGATTTTCATGACCACTCCCTTAAGTGAGGTCTTGAGCCTGCAGAGCACGGCCCTCCCCCAGCACGCAGCAGGTGTGCGGGATGGGGCAGGGGGGCCCCCCACACACAGCCTGGGGCAGGACCCAACACCACCGGCCACCATGGAGGGGCCGGGGTCGACCACACAGCCAGGAACACGAGGGCTTGAAGACAACGGCTTATCTCTACAAGATGTGCTCAAACCCAGGGAGTCTCCTGAGATTCACAAGATGAAGGAAAAATAACAGGGAAAGGAAGGGGGGAGGGGGCAAGGGGGAGGGGGCGGAGAGGGAGGGCAGCGGCGTGTAAAACTAGAATCTGCCGACTCAGAG